ACGCAATCTCTCGTCTATTAAGAGATTTTGTGTACAGCTCGGTGTATGAAATGACGTTTATTCAAACATATACGGGACACGCAAAAAGCGGTATAACCCTAAATCCACTTACGCCTCGGTTGATCCTCGACAGGCGATTTCGCTCCTCGTTAAGAGCGACTATACGCGGATCCAGCTCCGCGTCGTTAGAGTTTCGATTGATTTTATTGGCAATAAAATCAATGTTTGGGCTCGTCGGGAAAGGGTTTTGCGGCAGCAAAGAGAGGGTCCGCGGAGGGTGGAAGAAAGGGTGATGAGGGGGTGGCTCAAAGCTGTCGCTCACGGGAGCTGGAGCGCACGCAACGCGCGGCGTTCGCGGATTATTCGCTTCCCTGTCGGTAGACATTGCGCAATTGAAATCTACGTCGGTGGTTGCACGCGGGCACAATCGTTTGCGGCAGAAGAGGGACGTGCTCGGGCGCATGGAGGTAAACCCTCCGCCCTCTCCCCCGAGAGAGAGGAGTTTCGAAACGTGTTCGAAACCTGTTCATCCATTTCAAGTGCTCCCACACCGACCGCGCCGAATCCCACCCTTTTTATGGACTCTTCGAATTAATCTCGTGTCGCAAGTTTACTTTTGCTCTCGAATTCAATCTTACGTTTCACCGCTGTTCATCGCGCGGCGGCGGCGGTGGCGGCGGCGGCAGCGGTTCATCCAGTTAACGAGAATCCGCGTGTGTATTTCCGGGTGCGAATTTGATCAACCGAGATTTGCGTACCACCTCGCGCGTTTGCGAGGAAATTTTATTTCATTTTTTTTTTTTTTTCAGAGAACTGTTGGTTGAAATTCGAATCGCCGGGACAAATTATAAAAAAGCGAAAACTGCAAACATTTGAATATTCCGCCGTGATATTGCATTGAAACATTTAATTGCAAATGCCGGTGGGGTGGTTGTAACTTGTAATTGTTATCTCTCTCAAGTTGCATATGTTGAGCGAATTATCTCTCACTGGGAGTCTCACGGGGATTCTCGCCGAAAATTTCGGCAGTTTATTCGGGAGAGATAAGCGATCTTCGCCCAAGTAGGAAGACTTCTTGCGCGCGACAGAGAAGAACGTCTGACACAGAGATTAGGCTAAAGCGCGCGCGAAATTGTCTCGCTACGATATGCAAATCGCGGCATAAATGCTAATTGTAATTGCCCATGAAATGAATTCAAGGGCCTCCCTCTCTCTCTCTCTCTCTCTGGCGATGGGGTTCGTGGTTCTCCTCGTACTTTAAAAGCGACCTTTGCCCTCCTCGTTGTCTGGCAAGTATCGAGCGACAAAACTAGCGACGAAACGTCATTTAAAAGTTTTCCATCAGACTGACTCGCCTCCCATAACGCTATTTTTTTCGTGTCGATGAACAAAGTAAACTCCGTCAAAAAAAACCCGCGCGCGCAAAGAGAAAGCATTAATTTGTTTGCGTATCTCTCGTAAAATCACTTTTCATTCGTTCGTTGTTTAAACACGAGCGGGGACATTTGAAAAAAGTTAATTGCCAGAAAGAGAAGGTCAAAAACCCAATTGGAAGAGAGTTTCACGGTAAATGCGAAAGGGTTGCAACACGCTAATTCGTTTACGGGTACGTGTATCGCTACAACAATAGAACAATAGCGAGTCAGGCAGTTTTCCAGACGAAACTTAATAACGCGCCCGCGCAGAGCCAGAGAGCTACCGATCGTCTTTCTGATAAAAATCGCGCGGTCAAAGGCTTTTCTTTTCTTTCGCTTTGCCGACGCGACCGTCCCGAGGCGCGAAGCGCCGTTGTTTCCGTTGTGCACACGGAAAAACTCTCCGAGGTTCGACGCGCGCGCGACGGTAACGCTCGAATTTAGTCCCGCGAAATTGCATTGGGGGATTAAGATCTCGCCTCGAGAGATATATCCGAGCACGTATTTGCCGTTGGAACGAGTCGGAAACCATGTCGTTGACAGTTTGTAAATGATCTAGTTTGCGACGCGAGAAAGTGAGAGATATATAGGGATAGGGAGGGCGGGCGCGTTCCAAAGAGAACGGGGCGAAAAGGGAAATGACGATGGGAGACAGAGAGAACGAGGAATCGTGAGAACACAGGAGATCTCTGAGAGAGGCGCGAGTACGATCTTGTTGACTATTCATCTTCGTGATGATCGCACAACAAACTTTCGAGCCATTTGCGCGCGCAAAGCGAAACCATTCGGAATTCTCTGCGGTGCGAAGCAGCTTATTCGATTCGCGCCGCTCATTTAAACTGTCAGAAACACGCGTTCATTCATTCGCGCCGCGTTTTGAACAACGAAAAGTCAGACGTGTCACGCTCGCGAAAAGCTTCCGTCTCGCGCTAATCCGGCGCTTTGCTTCTCTCACACGGATATAAATTTCCTCTAACTGATACGTAAATTAGGTATACGTTTGAGAGAGCTCTTGACCGGCGCTTGATGAACACCGGACCCCGCCTTCTCCCGCTTCGGACGAAGGACAAACCGACGGAACCGGCTTGACATTTGCATACGATGAACCCGCACGGGCGTTAACTGCTCGGGGACGCGGAACGAGCTACAAGTCACCTGGTACCAGTAATTGAAATGAGGGTAACTTCGAAGAGGGGTCGTCGCACGAACAAACGAGGAAACCCCGAAAGTTTCTTCGACGTACACGGTGTGATCGTGCGGCACCGAACGCGATTAAAATTTTTATTAGCACACGTGTGTTAGCAGACCGTGCGCAGCAAATAGAGATACCGAAGTTACCGATTAAATGCGAAAACTGAAGTTGTCTACGGAAAAAAAAAAAAAAAAAACAAAGTGCGATTCAATTAGGCGAACAAATTAATTTTCTAGGAAATAGTTCTCGCGCGCGCGCGCGCCGCACAACTCATTACCTCGGTAATCGGTCGTGTATTTAATTACGATACTATACGCACGCAGCAAAGCGTTTCTACGGTGGTAAAAGACGAGAGGTTTCTGAGAGAATGAAACACGGTTAATAAGTGGAACGGCGCTGTGTAAAATACGGGGCAGAACAAGCGCGCGCGCAGGCTAAAATGCCTCTTGAAACTTTACGGACTATGAAAGCGAAATGAGAACGAGCGAACGGGGGATGAGAGACAAGAGAGGAGTGGGAAGTTTAATTAAATATCACACGACATGTTATGGTGGGCGGTGCACGGCCGCGTGTGGTGTCGATGGCAAGAGCAACGTCGGGGACAGGTCTGCGAAAAGCCGAAAAGTTCGTGGCAACGAGCAACGTACCCCTCAGCGACGAACAAGTCGGGGATGTCGCGTCGTCGCCGGAAGTCAACGGAGAGAGCGGCGAGCCGTCCAGACATTTAAGCGTCATCGGTATTCCCTTTTATAAAGCGGCCAGTCTGGAAAATTCCATTCAGTCGCAACCCTCGCGCTTGCTCGCGCGCGCTTCTCTTGTATTCGCTTATCCTTCTCCTTCTTCCCCAAGCATCAACGTTGCTCTGGTGATTCAATTCTCGCGAAAGGAGGAGCGGCATTCCTCGAACTATACACGCGGACGACAATTTACTTTTAATCTCATAATGTTACCGTGTCCCGAAATCCCGGCTGCGATGATTTCCCGGGAGCGAGCTGCCGGGATAAAAACGAATATTCGAGACACAGCCGGACGACACAAAGGAAATTAAAGTAAGAAGTTAAACCCCTTTGTGTGCTTGACAAGCGAGACGGAATATAAAACACATATACAATATTTACTGAAGTAAGCTCCGATGCTAATGGCGGAGCATATTAGCCGGGAAAGCAGAAGTCGAATCTCACCATCGCGCAACGAACTTCCCTTCGAGTCTTTGCACAAGCGTTGATCCTTGCCACACGGCCACACTTGCCACGAGATGACTCGCGAATTAAAAGCCCATGAATATGGTAAGGATGCAAATTCTGCCGGTGTTTACTCGGGATCAGTGTTACATGGCAATCTGCATACTCGAGCGTTGGAATACCCGGACTGTCGCGCGAGCGCGCGCGCGCGACGAGGGTTGCGGAATCAGTTCTCGCCCGTGTCGACTCGCTCGGAGATCGTATCGTTGAAGACGAGAGCGCGTGTGGGAGGTTAATCACGTGCCGCAAGCATTCCTTCGCCGAGGATGGAATTTAATCTGTATAACGCTTTGTTAGTACGTCTCTTCAAAGTTTCGCTTGCCGCGTCGTCATCGAGATAACAGGTTTTTTTTTTTTTCACCGAATCCGACCGCGGAGGGCGTTTTCCGCCCGGAATCGAACGGAGTATCGTTCCGCAATCGAAAAAGAGACGATCCTCCCCCTCCCCTATTTCGTTCGTCCCCGTCGATTAATCCGTTAGCTCCACTCGCGCACCGACCTGTGCGTACCGTTCAATTATCGAGGGCGCTCCTCTCCCCTCACTTATACCCGGGCGCTAACTGAGTTGTTACCTCGATAATTCGTTACGACGTAGTATCGGTCGTAACGCCTGTGGGCCCTCGCCACATTAATTTGCGGCCTGGCATGAGAATTTCCGCTTAGCTGCATTATATCCCGGAACTTATCGCACACACTATCAATAATCAATCAGCGTAGATTCCGAGAGAGAGAGAGAGAACATTCTGCGCGCCCGAATATTAATCTCCTCGCACGCGAAGCGAGATTGCGCGCGTACTTTGCGAAATACCTTCGAGATTATTTTTTCGCTTTAATTAAGATTAATGGCGTAATGAAAATTTCAGACACACACACACACACACACATACACACACACATATATATATATATATTAAAAGAACGTAAGTTTGGAAGTTCAGAAGAGCTCTGTTTAAATTCTAAGGATAATACATTTCCCTCGTCTCTGTTATTCGTGTTAAACGCTTCGTGAAATTTCTCTGCTTTATAAACGAAGAGAAATGCACGCTCATCTCGTCCATTGCGCAACCCAGTTACAATGTGTTACGTGCGCATATAACCCGGTCGGAATTATATTATTCCTTGCATTATTTCGACACGACTAGAGAGACTCACCCGTATAAGGTCGACAGTAGTTGCGATTTGCTCGGCCGTAAATCGCCGACAACGACGACGCCGCTCCCGGTTCCACGTACGCCTTGCTCTTGCTGTCTCTAGGGTCGCTGTATTGTTCTACAATCTCGACTTCCGCCTGCAAACAGAACGCAGATTGTTTCCTTTAGTGAGAACCACCTTCTCGTGAAAGACGCTCCGCGTCGCGTCGGATCGATTTACATTGCGGTAATGTGTTCTCTTTCTTCGTTTAAAAAAAAAAAAAGAAAAAAACATAATAACGTTAGAGACAAACGACGTGCGACATCGTCATATTGGTTACGAACTGAAAACAACGCTAATTTGGCGCGGTTTTCCAGATCGATGTTGCTCGCGTGCGCGGCAACAGTCGACTTCGGTCCCGTAGGGAGAATTTCTTCGGCAAAGGGAGTTTATCGTCGGGAGTTAAATCGCTCGCTCGCTCTCTCGCGCTGGGTGTGCGCGGCATCGTTTCCTGGTCCTGAATGCGGCCAATTGCGATAATACCGTTGCCAGGACTCTCGAGAGGCCAACACGTTTCCTCTCCTATCCACCTAAACGATGATCGTTATTTCGTGAGAAAACAACCGCTGTGGCAATTCGTTCCCTCCCTCCCTCCCGTCCGTGTGCACCCGGCGGATTAATAAGCGCGTCGGTGCTCGAATAATCAGCCAGATGACGGCGAACATTAATATCCTGTCGTTGCGCGGGGATCGCAACGTAAATGAACGCGAAATGCAGAGTGCGAATCACACGTTATATTCGACCTCCGATAATCCCCCGTCCTCGGAAAAAAAAAAAAAAAAACGACGAGAAAAAGTAACAGGAAGAAATTTCCCTTGACTAAATTCAATCTACCGCAATCTGGAACGAAGGCAAAGGGGTTTCCCGCGTATTTCCTGCGCGCGGAAGCCGTTTTCACTCGCCCGCCGCGATTACACGATCGGTGCTTCGCCGATATTAGCGACGGCAATGATAATAAAAGAGACAACAACCTTTACACCCGGGTATATTGGGAAACAAACGTAGAGCGAATGGCGCGAGACGTTATAGAAAGGAAAAGTCAGACCTGTTTTTTCTCTTTTCTTCTGTCTCTCTCTCTCTCTCTCTCTCTCTCTCTCTCTCTCTCTCTTTTCCTTTCTCTTTCTCTCCCTCTTTTGGTCCTACAACGTTGTATCGACAACTGGGATAGCAGGGGAAGAAGAAACCAGAGGGTGCGCGCGGCAAGCACAAGACGTCTCAGCGATGCAAGATGGACGCGCGACGGCGGGGAAGACAAGTAGCCTTAAATTGAAAGAGCTCCAAAATTGGAATTCTCTTGCCAAAGTAGAGCGCCGTGCCCTCAGGGGTTGTTCCGAAGACGAAAGTCGATTGCTTCCAGCTAACCTCGTCTTTTCAGTCTCCGCCCGTCTCCTCGTCGCGGTCTCTTTTCCTCTTCGCGCGCGCGATTTCTCCATCCACGGTGCGGATAAATTTGTGGATGTTTACACGGAAATTACGGGAACGCGTTCGATCGCGTTCAGATCTCCGATGACAAACGGGGTTGACGTCGACTTTTCACACACCGCCAAATTCCGCGATGGCTGCAAAAAACGATTACGCGGTGTTAATACCGCCGCGATGCAACATCGAATCGAATTGTCGTTTTGATTTTCGACGAGTGAAAACGCGCGGATTTAGCGACGCCTCGTTAAACGCGTAAAGAGCAAATATATATATACGCGCCAATGTTCGCACGAACAGACGGCAGAAGAGCAATAAATAAATATCACAGCGCGATGCAAGTCACCTATTCCCTTCTGCGCGCGCGCGCGCGCAAATTGTTTGACTACTTTGAAGATCGTGTCGAAACGCAAATGTTATCGAATGCAAATGGCACGAGTCACACCCGATCACACACCCCCCGTGGCTTCGTAGTTAATGCCGTTCGATTTATCGGGGAGCTTTAATCCGATTATTTTGATCACTGAGTTATAATTGCGCGTAATCGCCAAACCGGGTCTGATATATCATCGCTTGACTTTAAATCGTATTTTACGAGTTTCGAATTGCGTGTACACATTTTTGCGGTGTCGCGTATTTCGCGGTGTAAAAAATCGTTCGTTATAATTGTGCGAAATAAATAAAGATTTGTCGATACTGTGCTTAATCATGTTTTTTTTCTTTTTTGTTCTTCAAAGCTGTCAAGCGGAATCGACGCACGTGCGGAGAAAAAACTAAAATTTAAAATGACGTGCTAAAGAGTTTCAGCCCGGGAAAAACATAAATATTAATGTAGCCCCCGCGGTCGCGGTCCCGCAAAACGTCGGACTGCATTAATGGCGGAATAGAGCGTTATACAGTTCGTAACATAAATAACGCCGTTACACAGAACGGCACTCTGGAGAAAGCGTCACGTCGTCGGCGACGTCGATCGTTCTTAATTTCGAGAGAAAATAGTGAGTCGCGGCGTGTGTCCTTCCACGAGATATTTTCGTGGTAACACGAGACCGTCATTAATAGTATGCAGAATGGCGTTGGCGGACGAAAGCGGGAAAAGTGTTGCGAGAAAAATGAGCTGATGTGAAAGATAAGGGCCCTCGCGCCGTGAGAATGTTTCTCAGCGGCGAGTGGGAGTATCAATCACTCTCACTTCTCGGCCGAGAAGAATCGCACAAAGGACTCGACATTGCGACTCTCTCGCAGAGTCCATTTTTACCCCGAAATTCTAAGCGTCGCAACCCCCTTGGACTCGGTCGGGAATTAATTACGCCCGCTTTTCGGTGTAATTTTACTCGTCGTGAGTTAATCGCTACTTCGGTGTATTCGGCTTGGTACAAATGGGCGACGAGCCCCTCTGACATCCTCCGCGACGATGTGCTCGTTGCTCCGAATTTACCGACCAAATAAATCGGACTTTTCGCGTCTTACATGACCGAAACGTGACAGAGAGAGAGATAGAGAGAGAGAGAGAGAGAAAACCGCGAAGCAAGAGCAAAGAGGATTTCTACGCGACAAAAAAAAACAACGAGAGGAGAACACACAATGAAAGTTATCTCGCTGCGCAAACTCTCGAGAAGCACATCTATAGTTCTCGAAGTTTCTCGCGCTAAAGCCCTCCCTGTTATAGTGATAAATGCGTGCGACACCAGTGGCCGATCTCACGCATAAAATAAAGCGCTAAAGTATTAAGTAGGGCTTTACGAGAACGGGACTCATAACGATTCACCCTCTCGAGTCAAGTGGCACCCGCTTTCTGTCTCTGTCAGAACTCCCCCTTCGTCGCGAACGTCCACCCCCGCGCGCAACTCTCCACGGAGGAGGGGTTGTCGGTGACAACGAGGCGAAGGAAACTTTTGTTCGGCACACTCAGGTGTCGTCGTCCCCTCGCTCTCTACGACGTTTCTTTTTTCTTTTGTAAACTCCCCTGCGGGAGTTCACGCGGCGCCTACGCGTTTCCGTTTATTTGTATAATAATCAAGCGCCGAGAGCGATGGTGGCGACGAATTAAATTTTTTTGCGAATTAACATACCTCCTCTCTCCGCCTCCCTCCAAATGTGACAACGGATCGCTAAGAGAAAGCAATAACACAGTAATATTAAAAACAAACATACACAGTTTGTGTAAAAGCAATTTAAAAAAATATCTCTTGAAACAACTCTTCCGATTGAAAACATTTTTCAAATCAAGTTTGCCGGTAATTTTATCGAAGGAATAATCGAATTGTTATTGCAAATACAGATAAGGTAAATATTATATCAAACGATTTGAGATTATACTTGCGCGGCAATGTTCAAATATTTACTTTTATCTCCGAAACACGTTTCTTCGCGACGAGAAAAACCGCGTACAATGAAAGCGTAATTTTTCGAGCGTACTTTCGAGGTAATCGCCAGAAACGCGAAGAAGATATATTTCTGGCACGGCGTTTAGGACGCGTTACGCCCGCGGCAATTCCCAGAAACTGAGTGCCGGAGCAATTATAAGTAACGCCGGAAGTCAACGCCGGATCTCTCCCGGCCCTGCGACGCTCCTCCTCGTCGTCGTTCTGTTGTTGCCACCTCTCGCACCCTCTGACGTTCTTCATCCTCTTTCCACGCCTCCCGCAAACACCCTTCCGTGCGTCGCCGTGCCCGGGAGGTATTTTGTCACCGCTGTAATTATATTTCTCCCTTCGACTGATTCCCTGGCTATCCGCGTTGCGAAAATATCAATACTATCGTTTGGCCGCGACGTAACGACTCGAGCCCACAGTCAGGAAGTGACGAGACACTAAACTATAACGATCCGTACGCGTACGATATTCCGTTCAAAAATTGGATCAAAGTTCATATACGACGATGAAAAATCAAGAAATATTTTACTGTTTTACTTCGCGATATTTCTCCGACCATCATATATCGATCGAATAAATTGGATTGATCAGACTGTTAGAGCAAGAACTTGGCGATATTACACATTTCTACAGATGTCGCGCGCGTCTTCGTAACCGCAAGAATTACTGGAAAAGTTTTTTCGCTTTTCTAGCGAAAAAATTTTTTCTGACCTCTTTGTGATTCACCGCACGTCGCGGATAAAAAATATCGATAAACTTTTCGGGCTGGAAACAAGCCACAATGGGGAGGAAAGCGTGAACGCGTACAGCGTGTTTGCTGAACGCAGAATTCATTGAACTGTGAATGCAGATAAACGTGGTGAATAAAGTTCCGCGCCGCAATAACGCCGCACTGTGTAAAAGCGCATAATTCTACGGTTACGTGGCTGTCGCGCGTCTCTTCTCCCGCGGATCTCCTTAATCGAATTTCTCAAGAGCGCCGAAATATATATGTTATTATCTTACAAAAGCCTTACTTACGTAATATTGCGTAAAACCGTTGCAGCAAAATAAATATTGATTTTTTTTTACAAATCCGCGTCGTATTTCCGAATAGTAGAAAGTAAACATTACTATATTGTTGTTTATAGCGAAACAATATTTCACGAATATTAAACAAAAACAAATAACAAACATAAAAATGAATGATTGAATTTTGTAGAAGAATATGAATTAATCGACATTACTCACATTTTCTACAGTCGGACTTGGGAGTGTCCATTGCACCGTGGAAGTTGCGGCCGCGGCGCTGGCGGGGCGTCTCTTGTTGACGAAGTCGACGGGCAGACTGTAATCGTCGCACAGCGATACCTGCAAAGCACAAACAAAAAGAAAACCGATATACATCGAGAGCCCGCTTATTATCATTTTCCATTAACCGAACCGTCCGATGAGAATTTTCTCTTTCAAACTTTTCATCGCCTCGTCGTATGCCCGCTCTTAATGGAGTTTCAAACTCGTGAGGAATGACTTTCATCAAAAATGACGCGACTCCGCTAACTGAAAAACTTTGCCCGCCCACCTTAAGTTCTCGTTTGCAAGATCGTTCACACGAGCTGACTTTCAATTCCTCGTCTCGCTAATCACGCAGTATTTTTTTTTTTTTTTTTCTATAATGCGTTGTAACGACGCCATTTTGTACACAGTAACGTTTTATATATCACGTTATTGGAATAATGTTTAATATTATATCGTTATATGATTACATCATTACGTAACGGAAGAGACGCGGAACCGAATTATCCTCATTTAAATTCTCGAACTAAACGAGAGCCAGTTGTTAACCCTCGCTAGTTACCCTCGACGTTGCCGAAGCACGCACCGGGTTTCCGTCTGGGGACGGAAAATACACGCGAAATGTTGCTGAAAAAGTGAGAAACAACGAGCGGCGGATTCGCGGGGTTATAGGCATCCGGCATCAAACGGCAGAGGATTTCTGCCACTCGACAAATCGCAGGGTAAGCACACCCTCCTCCTCCTCTTTCCCAAACTTCTCCCGCGCCCTCAAATCCCCGTCGACGCTGACTGGACCAGCTCATCAGCGATATTTACTGTCTGTCGGAGAATCGATCTATCGACGCGTGGATGGTTCCTCGCCTCACCACGAGCCGATCGCTGTACGCGGCCACGACCTACGTCTGTGCATGCATATAAATCGAGACAATCGCAGATCCCCAGGGGCGGCTTATCGCGTCGGGGATAGGACGGCGTGGAGGACGCGCGGCGGCGCCCGCTCTGCGAAGAGGGAATTTCGCTCCGGCGCGAGGACCCTACATGCAAATGGTTGGCGTTTATTGTGAGAAAAGAGCGCCATATGAATATGTGAAGTGGGAAACGAAACAAAAAACAAATATGAAAAAGAGAAAAAAAGAGAGAGAGAGAGAGAGACGAATGGTCGAAGGACAACGTAAATAGGGAATGGGGAGCGACCGGTTCGCAGAAAAGCGGAAATAACCGCGTAGGTATCGATAAATGACATGGCCGGGCACTTCTCGAAAAGTGCAGCGTCGAGAGGGGTAGGAAAATCGATTTTGTAGCGGACGACGAGAGTCGCATATGCCAGGCAACTGAGAAGTTTACTTTTTTACTATCATTCGATTGTAGAGAAAGAGAGAAGAGCGCGCGCACGTAACTTTTCTCGAATTTCGTGTTCGAGTAAAACTACTCACATTTTCAAGTCGGTCGTAATCGTCGGATCACGCTTGTAATCAGCTAATGCGTTTGTCGGAGAAACAATTCCACTCGCAAGGAAATAAATCTTCGTTCGATCCGTCGTCTATTGCAAGTCGTCGTAATTGAAACTAATTGCATATAAGCGCGGTATAGTTTTACGAACTTTATTGGCTTCAGGGCGAGCGTGACCCAGACGTGAACTGCAATCGCGCATGCAAGTGATACCACGAGGAAGCCAAGTGCGAACGAGGGCGGCTCAGCGAGAGGTGCATTCGAATGAAATCCAAGAAAACCGCCAATGCCCGCGGAGACTGAGGATCGCGTTTCGTTCTCTCGAACTTCAGGCCACACTATCCGTCCAACTTAAATACTGTCTTTTGTATCCGAACTTGTGCAAACGTTTGCGATCAACGTCGTCTTCGTAATAGGAAAAAAAAAAAAAAACATTTAACTTTCATATAATTACAGATACACGTGTTTATTCCATCAAATCTATGAGTTATTCATGAGCGTTTGTAAGTAAAATACGATGCGTGGCGTGAACGCATCTAGATACGGTCGTAAATCAACAGTCGGGTAATCCTTGAAGTTTGCCGAAATAGATTGTATAACCCGTGATCCCCGGTGTCTCCCGTGAAATGATTTGTGTTTTCCCGGTAAATCTTCGAACGCCGCGTGAATTTTCGCCCCGGGGCGGGGGGGGGGGGCGTTCGTTATTGAGTGAAGGAGGCCCGAATATGAAGGCCCGCGGAGAAGCTTCTCCCCCTCTTCCTTCTCCGTTCGACATTCACAAAGAGCCTATCGCGCCAATGTTTACCGTGTTTCCCGAGAAGAAACGTTATCCCTCATTACACGGAGGGTTGGAGGGACGTGGGCGAGCGGACGAAAATCCGGCATTTCGCGCGGCCGAGATTAAGCCGGCGGAATATTTAGCAAATGTTTCACATAAATCAAAGCTGCGCAATATGTTCGGAGTTCGAAGCGAGGCTATGTAAATTCATGGTAATACCCGCGCGCTGGCCACCCTGCAGAGAGGAGTTTCGATTCGCGAACGACCGAAGAGAAAGGAGAGGGAGGTAAAGAGCGCACCGGGGGACAAGCGAAAAGGGAGAGCCCGAGCGCGACAGCGCGCACCGAGGGCAGGAAGGAGTAGGGAAAGTTTGCGGGGAGGAAAAGCGAGAGAGTATGTATATGTGTGTATATATATATATGTGTGTGTGTGTGTGTGTATGCGCGCGCGGGAAAGGAGAGAAGAAAGAGAGCGAGAGAGAACGACGAGCGCGTATTTCATGAACCCCTAAAGCAGCCCTGAGCATTGCGGCGACCGCCACAATCCCATTCATTCTCTTTATGGGCTCCCAAGTATTCGGGAGCGAGCTTGAATAAATCGGAAATTTGCCCCGCGGGGAGCGCGTCCCTTTCTCGCGATTTGCCTGCGACTTTCGATACGGTCATTCGCGAACATTGCGTTTCGCTTTTTCCGCACGACACGCATGACGCACGAGAATGTGTATGTGTGTGTGTGTGTGTGTATGTGTGTGATCGTTAATCCCAGCTCGCTCCCCGTATAGAAGATTGCGAGAGAGAGTAAATGTTCGGGCTGATAATGAGAGAGAGCTTTACGACGCGCGACTACGATCATTGAAGTGACTTGGCGTGACCGCCACTCGCTTAGTATAACGCTAATTTGTGAGCTTTCTGAGAGAGACTCTGTGTGTGCAGCTTGGCGGAGAACAATCTAATCAATATTCTCGCGTAATAGGCAAATGCTTTCGCCAGCTAATGACGGCAATGTACAAACCGGGGTGGTAGAAAGCGATATTAACGATTGTGCTCCGAACTTCAACTATGAACGGAATGTTTACTCTGCGAAACTTTCCGACACATTCCTGACGTCATTTGCAACATATATATATATATATATATATATATATATATATATATGTACACGCTTGCCCCAAAATTCCGTTATTTCTCTGAGGTGACCGCGTTTATAGATAATTCACGTTATTGAATATTTCGCCTTTTTTTTGTGGAACGTTGCACGTTTGTAAATATTACGTTTTTTTTTATTATAAAACAATAACAATATTTAAAAGATGTTACGGAAGCTGATTTTCTTCCGACCAATAAATTGCACTGAATTGTATTGTTTACAAAACGTAAAAAAACGATGAAAAGAGTAAAACTGATATTGGCATCTGCCAAACGCACAAAACCCTCGATTGTACTCGAAATATCAGTGTTAAATCGTAACAACAAACGGTGTTGCGGTGTTGAATTGCGCAAACAGATCGATCGCGATGACACAATTAACCCCTAACTAGGAAGGGTTACGACTTGAATAGCTAAGGGTTCCGACGAGGCCTCCGCAGAATTCCTAAGTACTTGTCGACGAGACCCCGCGCCCAACATTTTCGTAAACTAAAATTTCCATCTCGCTTATCCCACATCGATTTCTTCTTGATAAACGTTCCTCCGATCGAGTCGAAGAGAAACGAGATATAACACGTTCATAAATTTGCGCCGGTCGAAGAGTTCTCGTCTCGAAAATATCTTGTTAAATGTGTTATCGCGTAACTGCACTGTCTTCGACACGTTCTCGCCGAAGAAGCCCGCCACGTTTTCCTCTGACCTAGACAACAACATGCGTCAGACCGTAAAGAGCGAGCCATAAAGGGAGCTAAAGATCGATGAACAGAGTTAAGTATGATTGACGACGAGCGAAAGTGCGCGCGGATAAGTCTTTGGGGAGTCGCCTCCCATTCTCTTTCGTTTTCCGCGTTACGACAATCCGACTCCGTTCTAACGCCACGGGATAAACGCGTTGAAGTTTTGCGAACTTGTTCCCACAACGCGTTCGCGAACTCTCACCCGAGGCAACATCCTTCCCGACAGCGACGTACAACGCGCCGCAATCCGGCGTCTTTATCACGTATACATCCCAAAACGTACTCTTCGTCGCTCTTCCTTCTCGGATATCGTTTTTTCTTTTCTTCTTGATTTTCGTTCGTTACGTTAGAGACGGCGCCCGAGGCTCGCCTGGTTTTGACGAGCTGAAAAAAAAAATCCTTCGATTTCTTCGCGCGAAAATGACGAAGCGAACGAGAAAACCTTCCGAACCCTCAGAATTTTGCGTGGGTGAGCAAATATCGGACGCGTTTCGATAAAGAAGTTCCGTGTGTAAAGAGAGGTCCATCGGCCTTGAAATTTATCATCGCGCATCTTCGCGTCATATTTCTTATCGTGCGATAAGAGCTTTTCCTATAGGCAAAGCATTAATGGGATTTTGTTACGTGACGATTGATGATATCACGGAGACGAGCTCGTCTTCGTCGAATCACGATTGTATAATAGAACGGTGTAAAATGAAAGTGAAAATTCTTCATTCAAAATTCCTGAGTTTCCATTAACGTGTATTATTGTAAACTATCGATCCGAGGCGTCTCTTCGTCCCTTTGAGAACGAGAACGCGAGATGCCGTGATTTCACAATTTAAGGATCACAGCATCAGGGTATCCTCTCTCGGCTTCATTTAACGGACTCCGCGTGCCGCCCCGATCCGTTCGGATGTCCTTTGGACTGCTCCCGATCGGGAGCAGAAACGTCTATCGAAGTACACCACGGTCCTTTTTGCC